CAGGCAACCAGCGGAGCAGCCAGTGGAGTAGAACAAGACAGCTGTTGGAGCGTGGTGGAGTGGCTCGTGGTAAAGGCTGCAGCAGAATTGTACGTAGAGGTGGCGCCATCAGCCTCAGACCACGTAAGGTGCCCCTATCAACCCCCCTACCCTCCCTTTCCACCCAGGTTGGGAGGTAGAACCCTGCAGGTCAACTTTTGAACTCTGGGCGGCACTGACCAGGGACAGAGACTTTTGGGCTGTGTCTATATTGGCGCGATCTTGCACCAAAACAGCCGCTTTTGCGCAAAAACATGCTGCCAGTCTACACTGACAGGGAGCTCTTGCACAAGAACACTGACATTCTAATGTGTGAAATCAGTGCTTCTTGCACAAGAACTATGATGCTCTGTCAGGTGGTGCGCTCGTGACTGCCACCCTCCACTGTGCCTCAGTGCCCCAATCGACTGTCTTCACCCAGTCCAACGCTAGACCGCCTACAGTCTGTCTCGGGTGCTCATCACCGGCATAACCGTCACCCTACCCTACTTCCGCCTGGCCCTCCTAGCCCCCGCTAACAGTGCTACCCCGACACCCTCGTTATGGAGGCAAGGGGTACCGTGGAAGGGAGAAGGGGGGTCCCGGACCCGCCCTCGCTCACGGGCCCCAGCCCAGGGCCCTAAGGACCCGGGTCCGTGAAGGATCTGGTCCGGTCAGTGGGGCGAGCCACCTAAACCCACTGACCCGCCAACCACACTGGGTTCTGCCCTGGGCTACTTCCCTTCCCCCGAGGGTCCCTGCCCCATGGAGCTCACCTTCCCCTTTTGAGACAGGATTGCAGACGAATAAGCAACTGCTCTTGTCCGCGGCTGGCCGCTTTTCTCAGGGCCTGGGCCTGGGCTGGGCTAGATCCCTTATTCCTCTTTAAAGGCTTTATTTTCCGAAAGATCCCTGCCTAGACTGGCGCTTTTTTCCGGCAAAGCCCCGAGCTGGAAAAAAGCGGCAGCCATGTTCATGCAAATGCTGCGTGGAAAATTTAAATCCCTGTGGCATTTGCAATTCCAAAGTGTCTCATTAGCATCCCTTTTCTGGAAAAGGGTGCCAATGTAGACACAGCCTCCATGAATGAGCCTCAGGTTCAGAAATGACTCAGTCACTGCAGAGGGGCTGCTCTCTTCTGTCAGGGATCCTCTTCAGGCAGGAATCAGGCTTTTTCGGTCCCAGAATTTCCCTTCAACACAAAGGGGTGCAAGGCTCAAGACGCAGGCCACACAGCTGCACCAAAATTCAAACTATAACCTCCTACCCCAGCATTCAGACACACACACAGCAGGCAGCAGCCCCAAACCAGCAGACAGAGCAGAGCTGACCATGCGGTGACTGGTCTCACCCAGGGAGCTGGAGAGCCAACTCAGCCTGGCTGGGGATGCCTCCCAGCAAACTCCACAAACTGGGAATCAGCAGTGGAGAGATAAAACCCAGCTGAGGGATCCTGCCTTCAGGTCCCTAGAAGCTAGTTCTCAGGGGGAAGCCTGCACGCAGGCCTGGGGCTTACTAGCTCCCACACAGGCAGCCTTCCCCTTGCCCTGGCTGGCTCCAGACTTCCCCAAGAATGGCCCCTCCTTCCCCTCCTGAAATCCCTGGGAGGGACCTCTCACTCCCTATGAGTTGCTCTGACCCTGGTAGGGAAGGGGAGCCAAGGCAAACTCAGAGTGCCTCTCCCTGAACTGCCAGCAGACAAAGCCCTGGGAATCTGACTAATCTCCTTTGGGGTTACATGTAAGTAGGTAAAGTTTAGATAAATCCATTAGGTTTTCTTGTTTTATGGTTTGGTTATGGGATCTGATGTCTGTGCACTTTTTAAAAGCTGTTTTGGATTTTCTTTGTGACTAAGTTCTAGGCCCATGGAGTTTCTCCAGGGCTGTGTCTAGATCGGCCAGTTTTTCCGGAAAATCAGCCGCTTTTCCGGAAAAACTTGCCAGCTGTCTACACTGGCCCTTTTGCGCAAAAGGGCCAGTGTAGACAGCTCAGATTTGTTTTGCGCAAAAAAGCCCCGATCGCCATTTTCGCGATCGGAGCTTTTTTGCGCAAAACAAATCTGAGCTGTCTACACTGGCCCTTTTGCGCAAAAGGGCCAGTGTAGACAGCTCAGATTTGTTTTGCGCAAAAAAGCCCCAATCGCGAAAATGCCGATCGGGGCTTTTTTGCGGAAAAGCGCGTCTAGATTGGCACGGACGCCTTTCCGCAAAAAGTGCTTTGCGGAAAAGCGTCCGTGCCAATCTAGACTCTCTGTTCCGAAAATGCTTTTAACGGAAAACTTTTACGTTAAAAGCATTTCCGGAAAATCATGCCAATCTAGATGCAGCCCAGGAGTATATTTTGTTACCTTACATCTAGTCATTATGCTTGCAACAGGAATATTGTTGTAATACTAAAAGTTCTTTCTCTTTTCTTTTTAATAACCTGGGATTGGTTAATTGTATGCCCTGATTTTTATGTTAGGGATGAGATTTCCCAAATGATTTCTTTATTAATATTTGGATGGTGGCAGCGGAAGTTTTATTCCCAAAATCTAGGGTTTTAAGATTTTTGGGGAAGTTTTATACCAAAGCCTGGTAGATAAGGTTTTGGGGTACACTTGCTGGCCCTCACTTCTGCATTTATCATGCCAGAGTGGGGAAGGAGCCATGACAGGTGCCAAGATGGAGATGTGCATTCTGTCTGTTGCCCCACCACAGTTAGGGAACCCCATGGTGGCAATGTCCTCAACTGTGACATCCACATTTTCTAGACTCATTACCCTCCGTAGCAGAATGGTGTTGATTACTTTCGCTAATTCTATGACAGCAGCTGCCATTGGAGATTTCCCCACTCCAAGTTGATTCCCAACTGACTGGTAGATATCCGGTGTTGAAGGCTTCCACAGGGCAATTGCCATGCGCTTATCCACTGTCTGAGTAGGTCTCTGTGAGGGGGCAGCCCTGCCCCGCACTATAAGTGAGCCTATGGGCAGGGCCCAGCTGGCTGAGAGGATCCAGCTGGTGGAAATTGCCCCTCCCCCACAGCCCTGCAAGGCATGCTCACTGGTGAGCTGCACCATAAAAGGCCCTGAGCCAGCTCACTTGGGGCTGATAGCCAAAGGGGAAGGACTGACAAGGCCAGCTCCTAACCCGGAGGGGTCCCCGCCGTTGGGACCGACACAACCGCCCCCGCTGCTGCGCCAGCCTTGGACCTGGGGGCTGTGGAGAGGTACAACCACAGAGAAAAGGCGGAGAGGTAGGAAGCAGCCCTGGGCAGGGAGTAACAGACCCCCGAGTGCTCAGCAGGTTACGGGGAGGAACCCCTCACTGAGTAGGCAGTAGACCAAGCTACTGCCAACAGGACCCTGGGCTGGGACCCGGTGGAGCGGGAGGGCCCAGGTCCCCCTATCCTTCCCCTCTGCATCGCCCCAGAATCCAGAAGAGCCGACAGGCTTGAGGACTAGGCCGCAAGGCCGTATTTACCCCGAGAGAGGGGAACTCCAAAGATTGTGCCAAGAGGCTGTATTTTACCCCAAAAGGGGAGGACTTTAAAGACTGAGCCGTTGGGCCAGTATGGGAGAGATTCCGACCAAGGGGAGGTACCCCTCAACAGTCTCATTCAGGTATTCCTGCACTTCAGGGCAGAGAAAAGCCATTCACAAACTTTCATGGAAGTGGTCTGGCATGTGCAGAAGTTGTACAGACAATGCTGATTTCCCATACCTGCAGCACTATGCTGTCCCACCAGTCCGTACTTGTCTGCCAGCACCAGAAGCAGCATTCCACTGTTTCCACAGGACTGGATGCCAGCTGTGTTTCTAATTTGTTCAACCCAAGAGCTTGCCTGTAAAGCATGCCCATGGCATCCTGAGAGTCTTCCTCCTGCTATTCCTAGAGTGATATGCATTCAGTCTTGACATACTCCACCATAAGGCCTACCAAGGTAGGCATGAACATCGCAATGTTTTGATGCACAATGGGATTCACCAGGGGAACCATGCTCACAGTGCTATGGCATCTGCACGAGTTACCAGGGCCTAAAAGGCTATTTCTTTTAGCAAAAAGACTATTTCTTGACTATCTCAAGGAAGGGGGGAGGGAGTAGACAAGTGCATTATGAGAACTTGATTACATGAACCCAGAACCACCCACTGCATAATTTTGGTCTCAAAGTGCACCATGAGAACCCAGAATGCAGAGTGGAATAGGCTACCCATAGTGGATCACTCTTGAGGTCGACAGCAGTCTCCCTACTGTGGATACCCTACTTCAAACTACATTGAATTCTTGTGCACTGTGGGGACATGGAACTTTGACTTCACAAAATTGGGTGGTAAGAAATTGACCTTAAACATTTCATCTTATCTCATACTGTAGGTATGGTTTTAGATACAATTCCCACACCACTCTCAGGCAATTATGGTCAATTGGAGCAGTGGGGGAAAGCCTCCAGACTAGGGGTATAAGCCGACTACCCAATAAGCATATGCTTATCAGATGGTCGAATCACTACTTGATTAGTAGCGTCCCCCCTGATGGCTGTATAAGAGGCAACAAGGGGGAGAAGCAAGAGCCAGTGCTGGGGGGAACAGTTAGTAAGTGGCTCAGCCCTTGTTCAAGGTGGAGCAGTAGGCAAACAGTAAGGCCCAAGCCCTGGTGTAGGGCAGGGCAAACAAACAGTCAGAAATACAAACCAACAGTAGCTAGTCTATACAGTTCATATTAACCAAACAGCTGGGTCTCCTTGTTTGGGACAGAAATCCAGCAAATCCAGGCAGTCGGCCTCAATGGTTGGAGAAGGAAGACTGCCACCCAGGATTTGTGTGGTGCGGGGAGACACAGGCCAACCTACTCCACTTTGTCCCAGCTCAGAACCCTAACAGCAGCAGAGCAGTCTGCTTCTGGGTCAGCGAGGATCCGGACTGCAACATGCTGACTCCAGCTCTGATTCAGCCAAACTGTGGTCAGCTATCTCTGAGCTACTGCCGTTTACCCCCTCCGTATATACCTGGGTCTCTGGCAGGTCTGCTGGGGTGTTGGGGCTGGACATCTTCAGCAAGTACGCTGGTCCAGGCCAGTGCTCAGTCTCCCAGCCCGGGAGCACAGGGCAGGCATCTGATTCCTCTGATGGCTGGGGCCCCACTGAGCTCCTGGACTGGATTTTCATAGTCCTTGGTCATGCCTCCTTCCTTCCAATCAGATGAGAGGGTGGGGTCAGGCTTTGCCCAAGTGAGCTCACAGAGGGGCTCTTCCCCCTCCTGGTCAGCAGGCAGCCAGTCCGCCCCACTACACCCACCTTGTCGACTAATCAAGTAGTCAATGGAAATTTCATCGACTACTCCATTAGCTGATTAAACACAATTGAACATCCCTGTGCCAGATAGCATTTTGCTGCACTGAGGTTTCCCCAGCTAGGGAGAGGGAAAGTGATAGGGTACAGAGCTGCTTCCTTCCCCTGCCAGGCACAGCCTGTGGATCAGATCTGGACCCTGCTTGCCTGACTCCAGCCCCTCTCCCAGTGGGCAGAAGGTACTGGTATGCCAGAGCCATGGCAGAAAGGGAAGGATGAAGGGGGCTGCAGGCCTGAAGTGCCAGTACAGGATCCTTGATGTTGGGGCGGGGGTGAGGAAAGCCCTGAGCATCAGGGGCTGGATCCAGCTTCAGATCCAGTCCCTGGGCCTTAGGGGTCCCACCGCAGCATAGAGAATACACTTGTAAAGTCTGCAGAGTCTTTTGGATGAGAGGGTTATAATTCAGAATGATCTGGGTAAACAGGATGAAATTAAATAAGGACACATGCTTGTACTTTGTTTAAGAAAGAACAAGCAGGTGCACACATTCAAAATGGGAAATGACTGCCAAAGGTATACGGTAGAAAGGGGTGTATGGGCCACAAGTTAAGTATGAGTCAACAGTATGATACTGTTGGAAAAAAAAGGAAAACATAATTTTATGATCTTTTAAGAGGAGTGTTGTCAGTAGGATATGTGAAATAATTCTTCCCTATTCCACACTGACTAGACCGCAGTTGGAGTATTGTTTCCTGTTCTGGGCAGCACATTTCAGGAAAGATGTGGAGATATTGGAGACATTGCAGAAAAGAGCAGTAAAAATGATTAAAGGTCTAGAAACATTAATTTTGAATTATACAAATGACAATCTATATTCTTCATTTCATTCGCTATGTATACTAATTTCTTGTGTGCTTTTTTGACCACAGTGACACATTGAACAGAGATCAATACCATCCAGGTCCCTTTCTTTTATGAATACAGTTACTCTAGAATCCTGTAAGAGTTTTATTGAGTGAATGTTTGGAAAGCCAAACAAATTGTACAGGATGAAATAAAGGATAGACAATCTGCGGCTCAAGGGCAGGTTACAGCACTGTATAAAGGTTACAAGCAAGCCACCTAACCTGCCCTGTCCCGGATACAAGTGAGGAAGTAATTAAACTTTAGTCTATACACAACCCGAGGGGCACCACCCATAGAGCAGAATAGAGTCTCTGTCTTTGAGTATAGGCTATAGAGCAATGGGTGGAGTTAGCCCCACTGAGGGGATCAGTCCTTAGTCCATTAAGTCTTCTTGGAAGGGGGAAAAAAATCAAGCTCTGTCCATCAGGTAATGAAAGCCAATGCTTCCTCTGACCTAGGCCCTCATCGTCCTCAGTCATGTCCCTCGTTGGTGGTCCATTGTCCTTCTGTCTTGGCTGCAGTCTTTTGTTGTCCTGGTGATGGTCTCCTCTGGCACCTGAGG